TGGAATTTTAAATGAAGCCTGAGACCAAAATTATCACCTTGTTACAAGTCATTGAAAGATATGAAGCATATATGAAGCATTTCTTTTAAATATTGCGTCTGAAAACGGAAGTTGCTGACCAGCAAACACTAACTTGTGACAAATTTAAAAAAATGGAACCTCTAGAAAAAACAACAACTAAATTTGCAAAATTTTAAAATTCATGGAGACCGTGTTCATGAGATACAGCAAGACGCTAAATCTATACCAGTCACTGCCCCTAACATCGGAAGGTTGGCGGCATTTATCAGTCCATCGTCCGTGAGAACGTCTATTACGCCTTATTCTTTCAGAACTACAAAGAAATCTTTTAGGTAAATTTTAAAATAAACTTCCTCTAATAAGAGATCGAAGAGACATGGATAACCAAAGCCCGGGTTTCCTTCTGTTGCTTCTTGAAATTTCTTAATTAAAAAATAACCAGTTAGTCTTCATGCCAATATTATAATAATTGAAAACTCAACTTAAGTTATTGTTATGTGTTTAGTAATTGAAAAATAAATTGTATCACAATACAACTGAAGATGGGGTACAGTAACTCTCGAAACGTCGTTGGATAAAAATATTTTCTTGACATAAAAAAAGAAGAAAAAAAAAGAAACTTCTACTGCTTAAACATTTTTAAGGGAGCTGTCATAAGAGTGAAGACAAAAACAATAAGACAGCACCCAATTGTATAAAACGTCTCTTCCGGTGCGCGTTTCACCGCTGGCACCGCCACGGCGGCCGCGCACATTGGGACAAAATGCCTAAAACCTGGCCAAAATTCGAAAAAAGAGTTTCTAGTTGAGTATTTTTAACTCATAGGTTGGCTACACTATTTTTGGTACTATTAAATTCCGTATGTAAGAACTGCCGGAACTTACATGTAAATCCGAATATACTCGGATGCGATTATACGAATTTTTGTTGCATTCTTTCACGTTTTTCCAAATGTTATCCCCGCCGTATTGGATCCGACATTTTGATTTTTCAATTTTCGATATCATATAGTGATATCGAATAGTGAGGTCGAAAACCCCAATATAAGCCCCAATATAGCCAATATTTTGTGCAAATTATCTGCAAAATTTCTGCATTTGTGTAAATTAGCTTATGGTAATTGAATACCATGTCGGCATTATCAACCACGACTGCACTAGCTGATAGTAAGGTTAACCTTTATCAGGAAGACAAGATTTACCAGAAAAAATCGCATTACGAACAAAGCATAGCATTCGAATTACAGTAGAATGTCATAAAGAGGAAATGTTAAGCGATCACAGCTTAATTTGATTATGCATTATGAACAGTTAATGAGTGTGTACCGTTTAAATACAACTCCCGTTTATGTTCACCTTGTGATATATTTTTGAGGATTATATTTATGTTCAATTTTTCAAACTAAACCGTTTTGTGGTGTACGTGTGCATTTTCACTACGAATAACATTCCTTGACAGGGCGTCCTGTGAGGAATTACAATAAACCAACACGACGGGCCCGAGGGCGGATCGGTGGTGAGGACGGCGAGGGCCATAGGCCACGGTGCATTGCCGCGCAGGGTTGAGGATACCTGGTGGCTTCAAGAGTTGTTTGGTGTGACTCACTTTGCGAGTGCTGGCGTCTTCAGTTACAAGGTATGTATGTGTGTATATATACATGTATGTGTGGGTAAATATGCTTACACGTATGTGTTGGTAAATGTGTGTGTAGATGGATCTATGGGTAAGTGTGTGTACAAGTATGCGAAGATAAATAAGTGGAGGTGTCTGCGTGGGTAAATGTGTGGACGTGTGCGCGTGGGTAAATGTGTAGACGTGTATGCGTGGGTAAATGTGTGGACGTGTATGCGTTGGAAAATGTGTGGCGTGTGTGTGTGGGAAAATGTGTGGACGTGTATGCGTTGGTAAATGTGTGGCGTGTGTGTGTGGGTAAATGTGTGGACGTGTATGCGTTGGTAAATGTGCGTACGTGTATGCGTGGATAAAATGTGAAAAGTGTATGCGTGGACAACTGTGCTGACGTGCATCGTTGGATAAATGTAGTCGACGATATATGTGATAGAAACTGTTCTATGCGTGTGATAAATGTATGGGCGTATAGCTGGGTAAAACGATTAGTGGATGTGATATCCGTGTATAAATGTCGTGGACGTGTGTGCGTGGATAAATGTGTAGACGTGTATGCGTGGAAAACTGTGTAGACGTGTATGCGTGTATAAATGTGTGGGCGTATATGCGTGGGTGAATGTGTGGACGTGCATGCGTGGGTAAATGCGTGTGTATGTGTATGAATGTGTGTCCGTGCGAGTGTGTGAGGGCGTTGGGGGAGGGGGTCGTACCTGGCATGCTGAAGTCGGCGGCGGTGCCGTCGACGGTGACGCGGCCCTCCTTGCCGTTGCGGCGCAGCGTGGCCTCGTGCCACGCGCCGTCGTCCACGCGCCGCGTCGTCGCCTTCACCTTGACGTTGCCCGAGCCCAGGTCCAGGTGCAGGTAGATGTGGCCGTTCATCAGCTCGAACGCCAGGAAGTCCTGCGCACGCACGCGACCAAACAGCTATACCAGGGGTTCTCATACTTTTCCTTGCATCGGCTCCTTTTTATAAAAAGCTTTGCAACATCGAACCCCTACATTTTTGTATACATCTAACAATATGAACATAATACAAAATAATTGGACGTAAATAACTTCATAGCAATTAGACAAACAGTATGAATAAAAAAATGAAAAAAAATGGTTTATTAGAATTTTGTTATTTTCAGTCGCGGATCCACAGGGAGTGAAATGAGGACAATTTTCCCCACATTAAAATTTGTTAGTTAGTAATAGTTTTAACTTGTCCCGAAACTGTCAAGAAAAAAATTTTCAGATAATCATTAAAACGAGTAAAATGGTCTCGCAGCATGAACTGAGTGTTGTCTTTGACATTTTAGAAAATCTGTAATAGGACACATTTCACAAAAACATTTTGAATACCCCTCCCAAAATTTGTCTCTGGATCCGCCCCTGTTACTTTTTTGTACGATTGGGTTTACATTCCTATAAATGTATACAAGTGTCATTAGATGTTTGGAATCTCTATATAAGAAAACAATTCATTATTAACTAAATTTATATTTTTTAATAAAAATGATCTTGATTTGTAGATTTATCAGTTGTCGCCGGTGTGCCTTCAGCTTTCGCACCCTTGATCATCATTGATATACCTTAAAAAGTGTATTTTAAAAGAAAGTGATATAAAAAGTTTTATCATTTCCATAATTCGTTCCACTAAAGATACGAGATTGTTACCGAATTTAATCTCTAAATTTGTTCCATTCACAGCAATATCAATTATGATAATGAATTTATTCAAAATTTTCTCATTCCTCAAATGTATTGCTGCAAAAAAGTCATTCCTTAAAAACATGGAACGAAGCAGTTTTTGAAATGGTCGCTGTTGTGTTATAATGTAACTGGTTGGACCGGTGAGAACATTCCGAACTTTGTAAATCATGGTTTTTAAATTTAAAATGGCTTCATATCTTGAAACCTCACGTCTAACTGGCGCACACTGAATGTTCAGCATTGTGGGACCCGTACTGTATGTGAATAAACATTCGAATATTGCAAACTTGCAGGATCTCAAAAAGTGAATTTAATTTTAGAGATTTCGAAGTCCTCTTGTTCGTGACCACCTGTGTTACGAAGATGTACTCAGAAGAGCTAAATCAAAAAAGTAAAAGGCTTCACTTAGAAGGTAGAATTCAGGTGGAATTCAGGTGTTCGAAAACAGCCCTGATCGTTTCTGAGTTACATGCGATGTTATGTTGAGTTACGAGACTATGTTGTAGCTAAGATCCGCTGTGGGTTACATTTGCCCATACCAATTTCTTCGCAGCAGAATCTACAAAATTTTTCAATTTCGTCTTAAATAATACCTATTCCTAACTCGTACCGGTAATTAGATTCCAAAAGTCATTAATGTCAATACCAACCAATGCTGGTTTAAATAAAATGAAGAAGAATGCTTATTAATAACGTTATTTAAAGTTTACGGTTGTTATATAGATTTAGATTGCAATTAAAGTGGGGTCTTTCGATGATGAAAGTAATAATTGTATTAATTTTAGCATCAACTACTCAGTGGGGTCTTAGGAACCCCGAGCAAAATAATGTTCAAATAAACAATATTTTCGACTCCTGGGCAAGAAATAATTCTAAATAAGATAACCGTAGCTAGTCTATCGAACTCGTAAGTTTTATTTCGACAGTTTTCTTGACCCCGGTAACAAATACCTACTCACACATACAGATAATATCTGAAAACTTATCTAGAAATGTGTACAAATCTAGAAGAACGCAGTTGAAAACGAAATTGGATTAGAATACATTTAATTGCTGTAATATAGTCAAAAGATTTAGAGCTGAAACAGAAAATAGTCTTATTTCATGCAAAGGGAGTGTTCTTACATTATATTGACAACCATGGAGGGATAATTAAATGTATTTGAAGCATTTGCGAAGCGCATATGAATTCCACCAAGACTTTTATTGTGTATTCTTTTTGAAGGGGTTTTTAATTATTCTTTCCACGTTTATACTTGTTAATTACATATTATTTATTCCAACAGAACTACTAACAAGATATTAGCTCGACAAGAAAGGGAGAATAATGAACGCAAATCAGCCTTCATTGGACAGTTGGAAGAAATTTTAATGACGTCTCTTCTCGGAAATGAAATTGCCGCGAACTAATTAGATGTTTGAAGTACGACAGATTTGTCTGTACTCCCCACTACAAGTCAACATGATTATGTCAAATATAGTGTTTTAATTATCCGCATTTTGATCCATCCACACCGAAGTTGAGAGTGAGAAAAAGTATGATATACTGTTAAAGATTGGACAGTTACGTCAGTCTATCCATTCAAAAAATAAAATAGGTCAATAATAAATGTTAAATAATGAGTACTATTAATATTTGCAGAGGAAACTAGTATGATGAATGCAGTTCATAACAATCAACACGAAGCATACGCTTTATGTTATCATTAAATTAGTGAGCAATTTATTTAGGAAGGATATTCAGGATAAATAAAATAAACATTGATTTTGGGGCCAATTCAACACTTTTGAAACGCTGACTCATGACGAAGTTCCTTATGAAATTGAAGAAAGAGGCGATTCGATCAAATCTGAAATTAGGAAACAACAAAGGAATTATAGAAAAACTTGAGGAAAATAAATGAGAGAGAGGGAGAGGAGAAGAAGGATGGATGACATGATGAGGGGGATGGAGGAGGGGAGAGAGGGAATGACGAAGTAGGAGCGGTGCTTAGACAGAGAGGGAGGAAGAGAGAGGGAAAAAGAGAAATTCATATTAAAAAAGGAATGTAAACCATAAAAGAAGGAAGGCTCGTTCGATGTGTTATGAAAAAAGTTCTTCTTCATTCACGCTACCTTCACAGAAGATGCCGCCTGACACAAATATAAACTAGTAATTTGAAAGGACCCGAATGTGGAAGATACTCAAACGAAAATGCATGCGCAGTGACACGTGGAGGTTCGAGGAAATGGCAGGAGAACGTGAGGGGGAGGTAGCGGGGTAGTTTCGGCTCTTGATGGGGGAACTTGAGAACAGAGTCAAAGGACGAGGTTGAAGTGCCATCGCCCGGGCAGTGCGGTCCAGAAGGGTCGGCAGAACGTGTCGGGGACGTACCGCGAGGTCAGCGGTCGGCAGGTCTCGCCGAGCAAGTACCGCCAATAGATCAGGGC